CAGCAGCAGCGCCCAGCCGAGCGTCCTCCGGCACCCGTGGTGTCCCCCGCCGCTGCAGTGGGCCCATTGCCTGATTTTCGCATTGTAGGTGCCGTAGGTAGGGCTTGGGCAGCGGAGGAGGGTGCGGTGAGGTGGCGGAGGAAGAGGAACTGAGAGTCTGCAGTACAGGGAGAAAGCCGCAGGACACAGAGGGGGTCGGTGTACTGAGCCTGGACCCGCAGTAACCGCACCGGCCTTCCCTTTGCGAGTTAACTGTCTTCCTTTTCGGAGCCAGCAAATTCTCTGTCAGGATGCCGGGGTGCAGAAAGTGAGGACAGGATGAGGGATAGCTCAGCGTGCAGCTCAGCTTCTTCATCAGTGACAGATCTGTACTGTACCCACTCCAGCCATAGGGTGCACCTCGTCTTCCTGAGTACAGCAGGGTATTTCAGCTTGAGTGCCAGCTTATCGGCTTGTATGAGGCTTTATGAGGTACCTTCCAACAGGGCGCCCTTCTGGGCTCAGAAAAGCTTGGGGAGTGAGCATTATTTTATTTGCTTTGCAAGTAGTTCTTAAGTAAACGTTGCATCTTCCTTCCAAAACAAAGAGTTAGCTTGAAAACATCCGAGTTTGCGTGTCCCAGTGGAACTTCCAGCCCACTTGTGTTTTTTCTTGCCTGGGAGTTGAGATGTGCAGCCTACCGGCATAGCTGGAGTTACTGGTAGTTTCTGTAATGGCTGATTTCTAAGGGGACCATATCAGATTTTTACTATGGTAGGTAAACGCAGCATTAAAAAAGCAACCCTGACAGTGTTTATGATATAAGAAAAAAAGATAAGGTAGATGGAAAAAGTAGTGGTCTAAATATATGGTGATTTAAATGGTTTTACGCACAGTTTTCCTGAGTGGTGATCTGGACAATCAAACTCTCCTTTGCACCCTCCCTCCCTTTCCTTCATGCAGATAATAACAAACTAGGAAACAAACTTTGATATGCTTTACTTGCTTTTACTTCAGATTTTGTGGGATTTCACGTCAGCATTGAGATATGTGCATATTTGATATTGAAAGAATAAACAGGCTGTGGGTGAATACAGGATGCATCAATTTTTTAGAGTTAGGAAATCTGGATCTGCCCTATTCCTTCTCACAAAAAGGAAAAACAATCAAACCAAAGCCCCCTCTATCTTTGATTTCTTAACAGACAGCAAAATCAATAAAAACTTGAAAATAATTTGGTGTTAGTGGGGACAAAGTGGTTGGCATTTTTGTCCTTTCTAAGGTCTGATCGTGCAATTTACCCCAAACCAGGTGCTGCTTATGGTAATGTCTGTACATATTCAGCATTTTATAAGACAACATTCAGTTTGGTTTTCCTGAGTTTAAATCAATAATACCTAGGGGGAATGTTTGGCATACTTTTGACTAGGAGGACAAGAATTTCATGATAACATACCAGTTTTGGTCGCGAGACTGCATAGTAAACTAGTTTTAAATGGGAACACATGCCGATATTGTATTGATGGGGTTGTACTGAGGTCACTGTACTGGTATGATCCCTCATGTGGTTCAAAGCAGTGCAAGGTACACGGGGAGAGTAAAATTCTGTTGTTCTGCAAAAGAGAATCCACCTAAACAATTGGACATGGATAACTATAGCAGGATAGTTCAACTGATGGTAATTTTTTGCAATGCAGATAAATTTTTCCCCGGTATTTGTTAAAAACTGTGGAATTGCCATTCTGCATTCTGTTCTTTACATTTTTTAATACTTTAAAAAGTGTAACAGTTGTTGTCTCTATTTTATTTTTTATTTAATATTACTTTTAAGCATTTAAGCAGCTTTGAAAGATTCTGGTGATTTTTTGGGGTACTTTTTGACTTTTGGAACTTCTTGAGCTAGTGTTAATGCCTGCTTTTGCTCAAGGAAGAGCAATGGACTGCCATTTGGAATTTAGCTTGCACACCTGAAATACTTTGTAGAATTAGATTTATTGACCGCTTCACTTTCTTGCTTGATAATCTGCCAAACAAAATAAAACACACTGTGCAAATGCTGAGCCTTAGTGCTGCTTGTTCTAGACAAAGCATCATGCTGAGTAGTGGTGTTGCTAGAGAAAAATCCTAAACATGTCTAAAGATGGAGGGGTTTTTCATTTTTAAAATTTAATGTGTATTTAAGCAAGTCCTTAATAGATTGAATCACAGAGTTGTTTCTTGCTCAAATGTAATAAACTACTTTTGACCTCATTTTGCTGTTCTAGGGTGCAGTAGAGCCCATGCAGATTGACGTAGATCCACAAGAAGATCAGCAAAATGCACCTGATATCAACTATGTGGTGGAGAACCCCACTCTGGTATGTGCCCGTTGAGGGCTAGTGGGTTACATTTCTTGGACATGCTCATTTTACTCCTTGTCAAATTGTGATTTAGAGATAAATGGATTTTTTTCAAAGCAGGGTGGGGTAAGAATAGCAGTGACCTCTTCTGTAGCTCCTTGTCCTGTAGTGACCTCTACTGCACCTTCTGAGATGAAGGAGGAATTGCTGTTTTGTGACTTGCTGTGTGCTGCCTGTTTGACACAGTTTCTGTTCTGAAATAGTTTAGTACATTTCTGAGACATCATTCCTTTATTTTGAGGCTTGTTCTTTGAGGAGCTTTAAGTATATAATTAGGATAGAATTCTTTCATTGTTTAATCCTCTGGAGACTGGCAAAAACCCACAGAGCTGTAGAGTTATAAAAGGCTGCATTTGCTTATATCAGTTTCTTCAATTTTTAGTTAATGGTTTGAGATTTTGGCCAATTTTTATGTATCAGCTCTGTAACAGCGACAGATGGGTGTTGCAGAAGAGAACAAAAATGTTAATCGGAAAAAGTTAAAGTAACATTAAAACTGCAAAATAAAGCATTCAGTTAGGAAGCTTTGGATCTCACCTCCGGACCTCTGAAGCTTTAATTTGTTCCTCTTGTCCCTGTGCCTTTTAACAGTTGTCACGTGGTTATCCACTGTTTACTGCACAGCCCTCTTCTTGTTGTTGGGTTCTTTGGTTGGTTTTGGGTTTTTTTCAGCATATGATATGTTGTTTGATTTCATTGCATTTTCTGTTCTGACACTAGAGGGATGAAGCGATTATGTTGTGACCTTTATGTCTTTGTTATTACTATAGCATCTAAGTGTTCCACAAAAATTAGCGATTTTTTCCCTGTATCTGATGTGAAGGACCATAATTCCCCTTTGACATTCAAAGAGCTGAGGAGTAAAGTGAAATTACTCAGTGATTTTAGGAATATTTGGCACCATTAGGCATGAAACTGTGGAAGAAAGAATGTTCCTGCCTTTTTATTTTTCAAGTTCTGTAGCAAATAAAGCAGGAATCCTAAATACAAATCTTCACTGCACACAGTCCTGTTTCAGTCTCAGAGCAAGATCATTTTTGCACTGAATCAGGCAAGAATTATGTTAGAAAATGCTACCATGACATCTATAGCAGTATCTTAATTTAGACATATGGGGTGGCGGAGTCAGACGTGACACAGAATGCATATTAAATGTGAACGGGCAACCTGACTTTCATGTTTCCTACTGCCTGAATGCTTGACTTTGCCCTGAACAGTCTGCTATAGTTGTTTGCATGTGTGCTTCTGTCTTTAGGAAATCTTCCTGCAATGCCATATCGTATCTTTACTAGATGTTTTGTGGTCCTCTTCTCGCCCCCACCGCAAAGCTTAAAATCTGTTAAGTGTTCAGAATTTAAACCTCAGACCCTTCCTCAAGAGTAAGAGACCCTGTTTGTTCTCAAAGGAGATGTTTTAAGAGATTAGTGTGAGCAAAAGAATGCAAATTGTCCCATGGAAACTATTTTTCAAGTAAAACCTAGAGCTGGTTTAGGAAACTTCAGCTCAAATGTTGGAATCTTGACAAAATTATTAACAGGTGATATAGCCGATGCTTAAAGTGGGTGAGCTGATCAGCCTTAATGGACAGCATCACAACTGAAATAAAAAAAAGGTAAATTGTAATGTACTGCATATTTCTGAGGAGATTACTAACATTTGAAGAAAGTAGAAATGGAATATTCTTACTTGATTTTTTTTATTTGTCTGAGTTACGAAGGGGTCAGGACTGCAGAAAATCCTGTGCAGGTCACAGTGTAGTAGCCTGATCTAGTGTTGCTGTCTTCGCCTTCTAAGACCAGGCTTTGTTTGCAGGATTTGGAGCAGTATGCGTCCAGCTACAGTGGTCTGATGCGAATTGAGCGGCTGCAATTTATTGCTGATCACTGTCCACAGCTGCGGGTGGAAGCTCTCAAGATGGCACTGTCATTTGTCCAGAGAACTTTCAATGTTGATGTGTATGAAGAAATCCACAGAAAGTTGTCTGAGGCCACCAGGTACTAAGAGATCAAGAGAATCTGGGGAGCTTTTTTGGCTGAGTTGAGACTGATATGCCACGATGGGGGACTTTGCATGTAATACTAGCATGTTCCTTATGCAAATTGTCTTTTTTTCTTTTTAAAAGGTTGGAAAGTGAGTTCAGTGCAAGTAGATATGTTGATCTGACCTGGACGGAAAAAGAAGTTGGATGGTGTCTGTTCAGTGTAGCTTTGCTATCAAGCCATTGCAATATAGCTTGGGAGGGAACTTGTAAACATGTGTACCCTGTGTCCCATATAGATTTGTTTGATTTTATTCAATGACTCTGAAGAGTCACTAAATGCTTTCATAGAATGTAATAATTCATTGCAGCACTGTTACTAACTTGCTTTCAATTGATTTATAGAACAGGTTGTTTCTTTAAAATTAGCAATGATTAATAATTATTAATTAATACAATTATTCAATTATTCATTAATAAAATCGCCAATGAGGAGAGATGCTATGCTGGACTTTGTTCTCACCAACAAGGAGGGACTGGTGGGGAATGTGAAGTTCAAGGGCAGCCTGTGTTCACTTGCTTCAGTGGCGGTTTACCTAACAGCTTAATCATAGGTAGAGGGGGAAAAACCCTCCCATTACATTATAACCACCCCAATATCTGTTGAAGGGACAACACTGCATGGCTTAAAGAATCCAGGAGGTTCCTGGAATGGGTTGATGATAAATTCCTTCTCCAAGTGATAGAGGAGCCAACGAGGAGAGATGACATGCTGGACCTTGTTCTTACCAACAGAAAGGGGCTGGTGGGGAATGTGAAACTCAAGGGCAGCCTTGGCTGCAGTGACCATGAAATGGTGGAGTTCAAGATCCTTAGCGCAGTGAGGAGGGTGCACAGTGATCTTGCTACCCTGGACTTCAGGAGAGCAGACTTTGGCCTCTTCAGGGATCTGCATGGTAGAGTACCATGGAATAAAGCCTTGAAGGGAGGAAGAACTCAAGAAAGCTGGTTAATACTCAAGAATCACCTCCAAGCTCAGGAGTGGTGCATCCCAACAAAGGGAAAGTCAGGCAAAAATACCAGGAGGCCTGCATGGATGAGCAAGGAGCTCCTGGACAACCTCAAACAGAAAAAGGAAGCCTAGAGAAGATGGAAGCAAGGACAGGTAGCCTGGGAGGAATACAGAGAAATTGTCCAAGCAGACAGGGATCACGTTATGAAAGCTAAAGCCCAGATAGAGGTAAATCTGGCCAGGGACATCAAGAACAAGAAGAAAAGCTTTTATAGGCATGTCAGTGACAAAAGGAAGACGGGAAAATGTGGGCCCTCTCCAGAAGGAAATGGAAGACCTGATTACCCAGGATATGGAAAAGGCTGAGGTATTCAATGACTTCTTTGCCTCAGTCTTCATCAGAAAGAGCTCTAGCCACGCTGCCCAACTCTCAGAAGGCAAAGGCAGGTTGAAGACCCTCTGAGGAACCTAAAGGTGCAGAAGTCAATGGGACCTGATGAGATACATCCACAGGTCCTGAGGGAACTTGCAGATGAAGTTGCTAAGCCACTATCCATCTTGTTTGAGAAGTTGCGGCAGTCTGATGAAGTTCCCACTGACTGGAAAAGGGGAAACATAACGCCCACTTTTAAAAAGGGAAAAAAGGAAGACGTGGGGGGAACTACACGCTGGTCAGTCTCACCTCTGTGCCCGGCAATATCATGGGGTAGATCCTCCTGGAAACTATGCTAAGGCACATGGAAAATAAGGAGGTGATCGGTGACAGCCAATGTGGCGTTACTAAGGGCAAATAGTGCCTGACAAACATGGTAGCCTTCTATGATGGCATTACAGCATTGGTACATAAGGGAAGAGCAACTGACATCGTCTGCCTGGACCTGTGCAAAGCATTTGATGCTGTCCCGCATGACATCCTTGTCTCCAAATTGGAGAGACACAGATTTGATTGATGGACCACTCGCTGGATAAGGAATTGGGTGGATGGCTGCACTCAAAGAGTTGCAGTCAACAGCTTGATGTTTAAGTGGTGACCAGTGATGAGTGGTGTTCCTCAGGGCTCAGTACTGGGACCAGTACTTTGTCAGTGGCGTGGACAGTGGGATTGAGTGCACGCTCAGCAAGTCTGCAGATGACACCAAGCTGTGTGGGGCAGTTGACATGCCTGAGGGATGGGATGCCATCCAGAGGGACCTGGACGGGCTGGAGAGGTGGGCCTGTGCGAACCTCAAGAAGTTCAACAAGGCCAAGTGCAAGGTCCTGCATGTGGGTCAGGCCAATCCCAAGCACAAATCCAGGCTGGGTGGAGAATGGATTGAGAGCAGCTCTGAGGAGAAGGACTTAAGGGTGTTGGTCAATGAGAAGCTCAACGTGAGCTGGCAGTGTACACTGGCAGCCCAGAAAGCCACCCGCATCCTGAGCTACATCCCCAGCAGCGTGGCCAGCAGGGCGAGGGAGGGGATTCTGCCCTTCTATTCCACTCTCATGAGACTCCCCTGCAGTGCTGCCTCCTGCTCTGGAGTCCCCAACATAAGCAGGACATGGACCTGTTGGAGTGGGTCCAGAAGAGGCCACAGAGATGCTGCGAGGGCTGGAGCCCCTCTACTGTGAGGACAGGTTGAGAGAGTTGGGATTGTTCAGCCGGGAGAAGAGAAGGCTCTGGGGAGACCTTAGAGCCCCTTCCACTTCCTAAAGGGACTCCAGGAAAGCTGGGGAGGGACTCTTGATCAGGAAGGGAAGCGATAGGATGAGGGGGAACAGTTTTAAACTGAAAGAAGGGAGATTTAGAGGAGATACTAGGAAGAAATTCTTTACTGTGAGGGGGGTGAGACACTGGCCCAGGTTGCCCAGAGAAGTTGTGGATGCCCCATCCCTGGAGGTGTTCAAGGGCAGGCTGAATGGCAGCCTGGTCTAGTGGGAGGTGTCCTTGCCCAGGGCAGGGGGTTGGAACTAGGTGATCTTTAAGGTCCCTTCCAACTCTAACCGTTCTATGATTTTTTGATTCTATAGAATACCTGCAAAAGATCATCAGGATAATTTTGAGAAGAACTTGTAAACATCTGTGATGCTTACGTTACTGTTTTCGCTGGAAATCTTAGGAGTCTTTTTCTTTTTTCTCCACCATCCTTGTTTTCTCTTTGGTCTATTTTGTGTATGCAGTACTGTTTGTTGGGGTAACAGTGCCAAGTTCTTAGCAGACCTCTGTTTTGAAAAGTTTGCAGTGTCACAGCAATTCAAACTTTTTCCTTTCAGAGAACTGCAGAATGCGCCTGATGCTGTCCCTGATAGTGGAATTGAACCCCCTCCGCTTGACACAGCTTGGGTTGAAGCTACACGCAAAAAAGCTCTTCTTAAACTGGAGAAACTCGACACAGATCTGAAAAATTACAAAGGGAACTCCATCAAGGAGAGTATCAGGTGAGATGCAGAAGGCTCTGCTGGAGCAAGGAAGAGCATTTTGCTCCTCCAGACACCTAACACAGGATGTCAACTGCATTCATTGCCTTAGGTCAGTGTGTTGAGTTACTTGTTTGGAACAAACTGACTGTGTCCCTTTTTGAGCACACAGTTCATTGGTATTTTAATTCCTGTGCTCCAGGAGAGGCCACGACGACTTAGGTGATCATTACCTTGACTGTGGAGACCTCAGCAACGCTCTCAAATGTTACTCGCGAGCCCGTGATTACTGCACCAGTGCTAAACATGTTATCAACATGTGTCTCAATGTCATCAAGGTAGGAAGGTTTGCAGAAAATGGTACTGGGTGTCTTTCTGATACCTGCTTTAAAGTCCACATGTACTTTGCTCTGGTTACACCTCTTGTGTCTGCAGTGATACTGCTTATCTAAGTAACACCATTTAGCTATGCCTATTCTACACTGTTTCTGCAGGTCAGCGTCTACCTCCAGAATTGGTCTCATGTTCTGAGCTATGTAAGCAAGGCTGAGTCTACACCAGAAATTGCAGAAGTAAGGTCCTGCTTTTTAACTTGCATGAGTTTTCCCTTTGTTTTCTGTCTCCAGAATTTGGAAAACAGTTTCTTCCTTTCCCCTTTACAACTTGCTCCCTATAAGACTCCCTGCATCTTACAGTCTGTTCTTCCTTTTATCCAGCCTCCTTGGCTGCTATACTATTTCTTTTGAGATTTTGTTGCTTTTCTCCCATGATAGGTCTGTAGGAAATCTGTCTCATGGTAAAAACAGAGACTTCCCATCCTTAGTTCTTGCCATATTTCCCAAGACAAACAAGATGAAGTTATCTTGCTACTGAGATTTACAGTTAATTATTAGGATGAAATATTCCAAGGACAGTTGTAATAAAAATGGTTTTCATACTGCTTGCTCACTACCGCTTTTTCTTATCCTTTAGCAAAGAGGAGAAAGAGACAGCCAGACACAAGCAATTCTCACCAAACTGAAATGTGCAGCAGGTGAGTGAATTCTTCAGCTTCCTGTATTGTCTGCCCATCTTTCTGCCTGTTGTTTTTTTTTTTTTTTTCTCTCAGATTTGACAGACTTTGTATTTTCACACCAGAAATGCAAAATTTAATAAAACTGATGAGATGGAACTGCTGGCTTGTTTTTGCCATTTCTTTTTTCTCCCTAAGTTTCTTCAGAGCGGATGCCAGTGTGAGTCAATGTAGTTCAAAGGATGTTAGGTACTGTCTGAGGGTCTCGTTTCACTTCCATAGTGAAGGCACTAGCAACCATGTGGGGGCCTGTCCTACACCCTAGATTTCACAATTTCTCCTAATCTGTATGCTATGATAAACAAAGGACTAACTTTTTCTGTTTCCTAGGCTTGGCTGAACTAGCTGCTCGGAAGTACAAACAGGCAGCAAAGTGCTTCTTGTTGGCCTCATTTGACCACTGTGATTTCCCCGAGGTGAGGACCAAGAAGGAGCTGTGTGCAGGTCTTGGAGGGGATGTAACTCTTCTAAGTATTAGGTTGTAAAGCTCAGAGATTGTAGTAATTCTCACAGCACTCCTGTATAGCTTGGTGGTGCTGTGAACCATGTTTTTTTTGTTTTGTTTTGTTTTTTAAAAAAGTTTCTGTTCTTGGCTTCTCTAAACGATCTGCTCTAGGTCACATAGGAATTAGTTATGAGATTTGTGTATCTGCGTAGCTCAATCAAAAGACTGGCTCTTGGAATTGGTTTCTGCTCTCTTAGCA